CATGTTTGTTCCTACTCCTGTTCTTCTTTGTAAAGCGACCTTGGGTCTCATGAAAGGCGCTATATAAATCCAAGCTATTATTATTATTAATGAAGAAGCCGGATGTCGCCATTTTGTCTCATATTTCTGAAGACTTGCTTTTAATATTTATGTCCAAAGTGCCAAAGATGAAAGACTGTTGCCTGATGTTGAAACAGAACATCCTTTATTTTACATTCCTCAAACTGTGGAACTACGTTAAGCCTTAAGTGACCTGTTTTTATGCTGTTTGTAGCTTTTTATTTCACCAGTCTGTAATTTCCTGATCGGTTTACTGGAAAGAACTGGAAAGGGGAAATGTGTTTTCTCTTTTTTTGCTTTCCAATAAACTGCCAGGAAATTGCAGAAGTCTATAAAGTCCTATGGTTCCTTTTTACAACTACACAACCCATATATTCATGCATGATAAGTTTACTACGATGCTGTGTTTCATTTGATGTTAGAACATGGGAATACATAAGCAACAACCAACTTTATTCAACAGGAAACATTTGTTTGTTTGGTTAAGTTTTCGCATTCTACGTGCACATTTTATCAAAAGCTTTGGCACCTTGAGTTTCTGCTGCTCCCTTGTGGCCAAAAAATATCTGTATTTGCAGGTTTTTGTGGTTATATCAAGCTAATTGAAGTTTAACTTTGATAGTTTTTTTTAAAGATACAAACGATAGCCTTCGCACTGTAAACTCTATGTTGCAGCTATTGATCAAATTTTTTGAAAATATGCTGTATGGATTTCTATATTTCTGAAATATCTTGAATGCAGCACGAATGTTTCTCAGTGTCTTCCTCGTGATCTGCATGATGCTGTTTTTTATATATATTTGACCCAAAAAACAAACTGGATGATACTTGTAGTTGACCGCATGACAGCAGCTCGTTGCCATTCAACATTACAGATAAAACGCATGAACCCTGCAATGGTCGCCTTTAAAGCCATGGACATTATCGATGCTAACAGTGTGCCTGTCTTCAAGCTGTGTCTCCTCCAGATACACCTCTCTACTGTTAATATTTATGGATAATGGGATGTTAAATGTGCTTTTTAATCTTTTTCTCTACCTCCCTGTGTTTCTACCTCCTGCTCCAGTGCATGTTTTACATCTTTGTGATAAAAATCACGAACATGTTCAGTTACCCCACAATTCAGCCAAGTAGAATTGTCTTAAAAAGGCAATCCATATGTTAAAAGTTTGCGATTATGTGCAATAACAACCATCTAAAAGAAAAGGTCTAAAAACAAGCAAACACCGAATTCACAAAGGTGGGTTTAATTTGTTTTTGATTATTTATTAGTGATCAGGACACCCTGGTGTTATTGAGGTTGAGAAACGCTCTCCTGTGTCTTCTCTGTCTCTGGCTTTTAATCACTGTCTCTATGAAATTGCACTATTTGCACAGACTCTTGTTTTCTTGTTGCGACCCCCGCAATGATCTGCAGTATCAAGTCAAGTGTTGCTTTTTGTGAAATGATGGAATAAATAAATAATGTAATAAAATATTCTTCAGTTTTTCATTCAAAATGTGTCCTTGTGGTTATACAAAATTGTTATAAACATGATAATCCGCGTACACAAACAACAATTCCGCTTTGTATATGATTTGTTGTCAGCACTTTTAGGCTGTTATTTATGGACCTCATATAGTGAAATGTTATGTAAACTAAATATATTAATCAGTAAATACTTTACAGGTTCATAATTTGCAGTAGTCTGGTATAGAAAGAACAACATAATGTTATTTAAATGAATTTGTCTATGATTAAACTACCAGAAAAGAATAAGCGGTATTAAATCAAATAAGTTATTTATATATATTGTGTTTCATATATTTTAGCATTTGTTTATTTAAGATAAAGTTGTCACATTTGGTTTATTTTAATCCAGACCATAAACAGAAAACGGAAACATGTCTGGTTCGAAAAACACAAAATAATATAATGATTGCAGACACAAACATCAAATAAAAATCACTCAAAAGTGCTGTCAAAGGATATTTTCTGACGAATAGGCAGTGTCATTATTTTGAGGCTTAAACTACGAACCACTCTAAGCTAGAAAGAGGGGGCATTGGCTGAAGCAGAATCATAAAATGTAACCATTTTTTAACCAAATAATCAGGAGCTTGCATCAGACAAAGATAAAAGTCACAACAGGATTATTTCAGAGCATGAAACATTTGTATAACTCCCCTCCTCTTCTCTGAATAGTTCTCCCTCTGTTATTTGTCCCTGTGCTTCTAAATAAAAATATGTCACTGATGCAAATAAAAAACAACTTTATCCTTAGAAAACCTCCTTTGTCCCGACTTAACTCTCATTACACCACATGATGGAGCCAAAGAAACACAATCTGAGTCCTTTTTGCAATTATCCAGTCACTTTCATCTTTAAGGTCACTAGATGTGGGACTGTTTATGTTGCTAATGCTGTTGTAAATGTCACTTTGTTTTGTTTTCTCTTACATGACTATGCACTGCAAACATTTTTGTTTTGTAATTATTTATTTTACTTGTTCGAAATACATTTATCAATCAATCAAGGTTAATCTAACCTCAAATCTTGCAATCGTACTTGCATTTGAAATATGTGAACCCACCCAAAAGCCCACTGATCTGGAGACATTAAAATGAACCACCTTACAATGCAGTGCAACACAATGCAAATCTGTGTGAAGCTTTTGATGTTGACAGAGTTCATTTTAATGTGCGTGTGCGTGTGTGCCTTTGCATGACATAACTGAAGAGGGTGTGTCCTGAGAACTTATTGTCGGTAAGTACTGTAAAAGGGAACGTGACCTGACTCGCACTCCTTAAACATAGTGTAGAGTTATTTGCTCGTTGAGTGGAAGGATATTTTGTTATTCCACAGTGATTCAGGTGTAGGCCTACAGTATGTGGAGATTTAAGGACATGCACAGAGAGAAACAGAACTTATTCTCGGAAATGTTGTGACTAACTTTGTAAGCTGACATTACAAATTAACATTTATTCATCAATTACTCACCCAGTTTACCTGGAATTTGTGACAACACTTAGTTTTCCTCGCATGCCTCCACAGTTACTGAAGAATACAAAACAAATGTAAAAACATTTTAAAAAAATGTTTTGCTAAAATTAAAGATGATCTGCAACTACACAAACGCATTTCATGTGAATACAAAAATAGATTTTGAAGTAAATGAAAGTCATTTGTGAATATCTTTATCCTTTACACAGGCACTTATTATTAAATAAATAAATGTATTAATTTTATAAATGTTTGAAAATATGTTGGGAATTTACTTTTCCAGATTATACATTTACAAACTGATTGTCAATCAGTTCATACAAATAATATCGTACAATATCTCCATAAAAGAAAAAAGAGACAAGTCTGAAATCAAGTGGTTGTTTACACTGTCCCTTGACAAACAACCTAAATGTTGTATCTTGTCTCGTAAAAAAATGGCTATCCCATGTGTTCGTTAGTCCACAGATACGAATGAACCTAAAACAGGGTGTGTGCGGCAGAATAATATCAGGTGCAGAGAGTGGCAGTGGCTGCAGAGGCGTGTGAAATCAGGATTGTGTTTTAAAGCACGCATCTGCAAATGTGTCCATGCACGCTCTGAAACCTCAACATGCACTGATTGAAGGTGCAGTTATATCTACAGGTTAAAAGGGCAGGTGTAGTTCCTGGTGCTGAAGGGGAAAATCAGCATAAGAGGTTGGGCTTGAAATGGAAAGAGGAACCTTTCCTGTGTGACTGTTAAGGTGTGGGTTTTTTGCTTTTTTGTTGTGCGTGACATTATAGTCATGGAGCAAAGCATCAGATTTTGCAGAACTTAAATTCCAGGTGATATATGAAAAGCCCAAAGCATATTTTTAACACTGATTGCTGTTCTAAATGTATTTCCAGGATCCCTAAATGCTCTTTAAACTGGATAAAATATTCAGTCTTCTGTTTTTCAACAAAAATGGTACAGGTAAAACGTAAACCCAAATATAAAATATATATCCCAAAGGAAAAGTGGAACTGTATCACACTGATAGATTTGCTGACTTCCTGCAAACACTAATGTTTTAATACTGTCGTCATCAGAGTTAAGGAGGACACAGATGCACAAACTGTATATAGACCTGGAACAGGTGTGCAATTCTCATTGGATAATAACTGGGACAGGATTTTAAATCAATTGGATAATGGATCTAAAAGTGGGAGGTGCCTTCAATGTGCAACAGTGTCTTGTAGTTACAGAAACAACATAGTACAGGGACACAATACAGGTACTGAATTGGAAAAATTAATAAAGTGATCACAAAATATATATATATATGTTGTTTACTTAAATTGTTTGAGAAATTATATATGTCTATTTATTTACTGTTCGGTTACAGTTTCATTTGTGTTGTTTTGAACTCATTTGTAATATTTAAAAAAAATCTGACAAATAAATCAAGTGTTTTACAAAAAGAGCAAAGATTAACGTTGTTTACAAACCATCTGGTAACAATTAAATATACTGTTAAAAGCCTCTTTTTACATTTTATTTAACGGTCGTTAGTAATATACAAAATAATAGAACATTAGATGCTCCTCACATGGCACTATCGGCAAGACTTAAATGTTCCTGTAATGTGATATAAATGAAGTGTGAAAATGTCCCATGGGTGGGGGGGGGGAATGGCAGGTTGGTGCCCCCTACTGACAGTTAATTAATGAGACTGTGATCTGCAGCTCTGATGGATAACCACTTAGTTTTGTCTTTAATAAGCTGCCATACGGCCAGGAGCAGACCGCTGTGTAAATGTGCCTCCTTCAAGGTGTGTGTGTGTGTGTGTGTGTGTGTGTGTGTGTGTGTGTGTGTGTGTGTGTGTGTGTGTGTGTGTGTGTGTGAGTGACATTGTGGGCGTCCCTGTCTGTAGCGCAGCCTCCTTCAGGCCCCTCCCGGGAGCGCGCTGCTGTTCCGCTTCATAGACGCACGGACGGACTGACGGTGTGTGTGCTCGCTCTCTCCGCGCCTCTGCTGCTGCTGTGCTCCCTCTATCTCTGTGTGCGCGTGCGCCCCCCCCCCCCTCCCCAATTTATCTCCTGTCCTGTCCACATTGGGTGTGGAGGTGGAGGTATGTAGCACCGGGGAAAAAAAATAGTGGCGTTTTATGGCACTGTTGGTTTTCCATACCGGATTCCCCGTACCGAGCAGCATGTAGCACCTGGTGCCGCGTTTCCCCCGAAGAAAGCATCGCCTGAACGAGGATTATTCTGGGGGTGGGTTGGGGGATTTATTCCTTATTTTAGAGGAGTGTTAGTGTGTGTTTCCCCCGCCGCTCTGCACCTCCCGGTCGATGGTCGTTGAGGAAGCTTCCATCTTGAGATCTACCGAGAGCACCATGGCGAGCGACTCCCCTGCGCGCAGTCTGGACGAGATAGACCTGTCTGCACTCCGGGTAAATGTCTTCCTGTGTGAGCGTGCATGTGGCGTGTAAGTGTGAGCGTGCGTGTGAGGCTTTTGAGCACCTGTCCCCCCCATCCACCTCCAAGTCTTTCCTCCCTTCTCCATCATCACCCTCTCCCTTATCTACGCGTCGCCCTGCAGCGATTGAGGAAATAGTATAGATCTCGAGGCCTCACACCGACCGTCCTGTTGTTGTTTGTTGTTTTTTTCTTAACAATTGGGACGTGATGTGATAAGGCCCTGAGCTGCTGCTGCTGTGCGCGTGCGTGTGCGCACACCAACACGCGTGCGCGTGCGTCAGACAGCATAATAGAGGCCGCTGTGTCTGTGGGGCAGATGTTAAGCTGCCTGCTCAGTGACAGATCACACACACACACACACACACACACACACGAGACAGAGACATACAGATGCTCGGACATGCACGCGATTTCTCTCCGTCACACACACACACACACACACACACACACACACACACACACACACACACACACACACACACACACACACACACACACCATGCATAATAGCGATGATAACCGCAACAGCAGCGAGTTCCGCCATTTCGTGATGTTGTGGCGACAGCAGCATCAGTGGATGTTTGTGGCTCTGTGCAGAGTGTAGGAATGTGTGTGTGTGACAATTTCTTATTTTGATTTTCAGCTCAAGATTAACCAAATAGTGTGTGTGTGTGTGTGTGTGTGTGTGTGTGTGTGTGTGTGTGTGTGTGTGTGTGTGTGTGTGTGTGTGTGTGTGTGTGTGTGTGTGTGTGTGTGTGTGTGATTCTGCACAGCTCCTCTTTCTTTTCTCTGCTTATGCAACAAAGCTGTACCTGCAGAGCAACACTCAAGTCTGGACATGATCGACCGGGTGGGACTGCTTGTCTGTGTGTGCGTGTGTTTTACTGACACACACACACACACACACACACACATTGGAACTGATAAAGACACCTAGACAGACAGATAGACAGTTCTACATTCTCATATAAAAAGAGGAATCCTGCTCACTTCCCTCTGTGGCATGATGACTAGAAATTAGGTCACGGAGGACGGATCAGAGAGAGCTGGGGGGAAACATTTAAGTGTGACGCAAAGCCTGTCACAATCACACACATGCTTCCTGTTTCACGTCCCAGAATGATCTCTAAAGTTCACCTTCCTTAGTCATGTACCTCCTTCAAAGAAAGTCTTCCTCATGCACAATAGGTCTGAAGTTATATTTCTAGGCTTTACATTCTTTGCAGAGGGTCATGTCTTTCTTACACTATGTCCTTTTCCATTATTTAGACAAAAGCTATTAATTCAGGATGGAAAAGTACTGCTTTTTAGTATTCTCCTTATCATTTACACCCTGGGACTTGTTTGTAGTGTTGGCCAGGTCAGGAGGATGAGCGGTCAGGTTGTAAACACAATGTTTACAACCACTGATGTTGAAATGCACATAAATAAAACAATTTGTATCTGCCCTTACAGCCAAACTGTCTGTTAGGCTTCTCCACTGAATACAACAACTGCTGCAGAAGAATAAAGATAAACCACACGAAATTTCCATCATTATTTTAACATTTATCCTCATTACCTCAAAAACAACACTGTACAGCGTGCAGACAATCCTTGTTTGTCTGGCTCTGAAATTATTAAGCAAGTTCTCGCAGGACGTACTATCTGCTGTGGAAGACAAAATAGAGACAAATCCTGCTACCAAATCCAAAAAATGTTAGATGTTGTGGCAAGTGCAAAAGTGAGTCGAATCGAACCATGAAGTGGAAATGAGGCCAAAGAGGGTCGGGTTAGAATTTAGCTTTAATTTAAAGAAATAAGTAATTACAAATGTTTTATTTTAGTAGCTTACGAGTTCACAAACTATTGCCATTTTCTTTCTTTATCTTAACCTTTAGTGTCTTGGTTGCCTCACCCTCACTTCACTTTACAGACATAACATATATTTCCTTAACCTTGCACAGATATTGTGGACAGCAAGTATTTAAAAAAACATTGGATGCTTTGGATTTCGCTGGATCTGTATTGTCTGGGGAAGTGAACTATTAAATGTATTCTAATGACAATCATTCTGATCATGTAAAACTTGTGAAATGTATTTAATGAATGCACTCATTATATTCATGATACTGGGTGAAATGTAAACTTGTGCCAATGTGACATTCACTAGCATGTTAAGCTGCTGGCAACTTGCAGGTGTTTAATAAGACTCAGATCCTGATATCTTTACTTTCTTCTTCTGTGCTGTTTTTATTATCTGTGTGGTCCGACAGTTAGTAAGGGCTCTAACAGGCATGTAAAGGTGTTTGTGTGCGTGCACGACACTTGTTTGTGTGTGCATGAGGTGCGGTCTTCCAGGATTAGATGTGCTTCTGTTTGACCTTGACTGAAGAGGAACGCTGCTTTTTAAGCTAATCCCCCTCAGGAGGCTCCACTGTAATAGACAAAAAAAACACACAGTCACACACACACACACACACACACACACACACACACACACACACACACACACACACACACACACACACACACACACACACACACACACACACACACACACACACACGCATGTGTGTGTTTGAATTCACCTTCTGGCTTTCATCTGGATTTTCCTTGGCGATTGTCTGTGGTCGTAGTCTGCATTTTACTGTTTGCAGATGTTAAAGATAGCTTTGGAACCAGTGTGTGAATGCTGCACATCAATACACACTGACCTCCATCCTATTTAAACGTTTTCATCGTTCAACACTTGAGCATGACTAAAGGAGAAGATTGCCACCACTCTGTTAAATATAAATCTAGAAGGCCACTTTGGAGAGTTCAGACCTCAGCCAAGGCCATGAATCTGGAAGTGGAAAAATACTTGTTGTATCCGCCTCAAAGTTTCATTGGTTTGTTATCGGCTCACACTACAATCTCCCACCAAGTTTCATAAATATAAGGCCAGTCATTTTTTGCGTAAACCTGGTAATTATTCAACTGAAATCTGATCTCAAAATCGTACCTATTTTGCTTAGCTAAAACAACAAAAAGTTGGCTTTAACAGTTTAAATTAAAGGAAGTTGGGCATAACTGAGAAATACTTGTTACTTGACTCCCCTGTAAAAACAGTGTTAACTAGTAAGACTTTGTGATGCGCTAGTATAAGCTGTAGCTTCATATTAACAGCATAGCCTCAGGGCTCTGTTCTTGGTCCCCTCCTCTTGTCTTTGTACACAAACTCGCTCGGATCAGTCATTAGCCTGCATGGTTTTTCATACCACTGCTACGCTGACGATAGCCATTAATTCTGTCCTTTCCCCACTCAGTGACCCAGGTCGTCGCACGCATCCCTGCTTGTCTAGCTGACATCTCTCAGTGGATGTCTGCTCACCACCTCAAGCTCTACCTTGACAAGACTGAACTGCTTTTCCTTCCGGGAAAAGATTGTCTCACTCTTGACCTAACAATCAACATCGGTACCTCTGTTGTTTCCCCGACTCAAAATGCAAGGAGTCTGGGTGTGTCCCTAGATAACAACCTGTCCTTCACTGCAACATCGCTGCT